ACAGAAACCAATTCCAGGGAGAAAATGAAACCTTTAATGCATTTACAACCAGCCACAAAGGGAACAAACGGTGGGTGCAAAAACGTTTTAGAATCAGCAATCAATTCTTCATGGATGGAATGCGGTTTCCAATTTAGGAATTTTTAACCTACATAAGAGCTGATATTTTTCCCATTTATATGACGAACTTAAATTCCTTCTTAAAAGAGCCCTTCGATACCCTCAATAACCGCACTCGAGGCGAAATAATCAAACCGAAATCTCAAAGCGGACACCACAAACATGCAGAGCCGAATTGTGCTTGCACCCTTATGAATTTTCCCCGATTTCCCCTACGGGAAATTCCCACTAATTTACTTGCTGCGGTTTTTCCTTCACTAATTGTGACAACTAATTGAAATCAAATTAGTGAAGCCACTAAACAGCTTAACGCTCGCTGAGCACGAACCAGATTTTCCACCTCGGCGGGGGGGGGGGCAAACGCGGGGGTGTCAATGGGTTAACCGTAAACCCTACACAATGCTAATTGTTTTCATTCAATTTACTGTCTGCACGCCGCTTTAAAATATCGCTCTTGGCTTCAGTTTTGGCTAACCATAAATTTTCGTCATGGACATCAAAGCGTATACGTAATGTGTGTGTCACTGTGTGTGGGCGGGAGGGTGTGTGTGGCATGTCCTGTTTGCAGGCTGTGTGGGTGTGCAGGCATGCGTGAATAGACAAACATGCCAGAGTCGAACATGCCTTTGTCAATAATATGCATTAATTAAGTGCAGACATGGATGCGAGAGGAATCAAACCAAGGATATCCGAGGCGCATCAATGGAGCCCCAAACTCGCGCGCCACAGGACATACGGACAGGCACAGGACTCGCCACCAGGCGTTGCACATTGCAAATTTAATTGAAAATATCGAATAATGCGAAAATGCAAATGTCATTATCAAAATTCAGGCCGGCGGAAGTGTCACAAGCGCTGAAAAGAAGTTGCAAGATTCAATTTCCGTTTCCGCACATGACGTGCATCGCAGCAGGTGGGCTTGCCAGGGCGTGGCTAAGTGTGGCGGGTCGGGGGCGTGTCAGAAAGAGGACTCTCTGACGGAGCATCCCAGTTATTTATGTCTCCGTTCGGGTCCTTTTTTAGCAGCTCCGTAAATAGTTGCGCAACTGACATGAAGCCCATCTATGAGGCCATCGCAACGACACCCCGCTGAATCCCCATTTATCCAGAGAGCAACTCCAACACGCACTTGCCCAGGAGTGGGTTCCGGCATATTGTCACTGGGAGAAAATATTGTAGGAAGATATATTCTTTAATTCTAAAAATATCTCAAAGTATTCTTAAACCAGAATAAACTGCTTTTGCTGAAGATATCTTTTAGTAGAGTAACCAAGCCCAAGACCGGAAGTCCTTTTTCGAATTTCCTGATAAGCATTATTGAGATTTGCATAAAAATACTGTGTTTATTTATAAAGTCAACTATTTGCAGACAAAATTTAACCAGAATTTATCTCTCTGTGCACTGCATTTGGGTAGGCTCGATGAGGCATCGGACTGGGAATTCCGAAGTCCGCAGTCCGGAGTCCGGAACCCGTACACGCACTCAGCGTGTGTGTGCACATTGAAGTGGACCATCGTTTGTCACACGTGATGGGTGAGGAAGTGGGTGGTGAGCCAGTGGTTGCGAGGGAGACACCGGGGCAGTGGCACAGTGGTGCCAAAGTGGAGAGGTGTTGGTTATGCAGAAAGAGACTCGGCGAGTGAGTGGGAATTTTAAAGCACTCTCCGGCTGAGCAAATACGATAGCGGTAGCTCAGTCAAAGGGTAAAAGAAGCCGAGTTCCTTGTTGATTCAAATTAGACTGATCCATGTGCCGGCATCACTCCGGCTTGACCCACTGTGAATCTGAATGTGGTTGCGGTTGTGGATGTGGCTGTATTCCTTGTTGACTGTTGGTGGCGGGGCTAATGGAGTTTGCAAGAAGTGGGCAAAAATGTGGATCAAGCAGCCGCAGTGGCACAAAGACCTCTCTGTTCTCCTTCTCCATCTCCGGAGCTCCTTCCTTGCGAGAGAAATGCGAGCAACTTTGCAAATTGTTGCTGCCACCCGTATTCCAGCCTGCATCTCGCTGCCCCACTTCCTTGGACCCCACCGCAACTGCATGAGGTTGCCAACTTGGTGCACCCAGAAAAATATTTACAAGAACTTTAAAAACACTAAAACAAATCCTTTCTTTTGATTATAATATGAAATTAGAATCTTATTAAGGAAATAATAAAATATTATCTAATAAAATATTCTCGTTTTCCCTCGTTTCTGGTATTTTATGATTAAATAAATTAATCTTCTTATAATTTATACTTGTTGGGTTATGAATGAATCAATACTGATTTTGTCTAAGTGTATTTCTGGAAGCGGGGTTACCACATGGACACCAGTGGGTCGACTGGCCTCAGGACTTGGGTCTTTCATCAGGCCAAACCCATAGCCGGAGTATAAGAGCCGGAGCCAAGACCAAAACCGAAACCGTAGGGAGAAGTGAGGAGGTGGTAGAACGGTGGCTGCTTTGTTTATGTGGCTCCATTTGGGCGTATGCATGACCCACTCAATGCCACCCGCTGAGCCACCCGCCACCATCCTGTGGTTGCTGCTATTGTTGGGCTGGAGCCTCAAGCTCTACGTGTGAGTGGTTTTGGTGTTGTTCTGGATTTTTGTACCCCTTACAGGCAGAGTGGAAAGTAATATTGTATTCATGGGAAAATAACTTTTCAAAATATATATGTTGTCCTGTCGGGAAACTAGCTAAAAACATCAAATCTCCAAAGTGCTTTTAGGTATTGAAAAAACGGTGTCTAAAAGTATGCTATAAAAATGCTACATTACTTCATGTCCCTCTGACTTTAGTGGTATGACAATGATGATAATTCCCCAAAAATACAATAAATTCAATAAACAAAGGGAAGTCTAGGGTACCTCGTAGTCTTAACCCTCTTTTAGAGTACTCTATCTTGTTCTGGATTTTTAAGTTGTTTTCGTTGTCGTAGGTTGTTTGTGTTGCCTTTTTTGTTGTCCTGTGTGCGAGGTTTTGCCTTTTTTACTGTGTGTGTTGCATCCTCGCCTTTAGTTGCAATTTGAGCACAGACACACAAACAGACACAATTGCACTTGGCCAACACACACAGACACCAACACATACATGGCGAAATGCTGACACCAATTAGGGTAGCAGGTTGTTGCTGTTGCTGTTGCCGCTGCCGTTAGTTGCTGTTGGTAGTTAGTTAGTTTGGTTGCACTTTGTGCGTTGCATGTTTACAGTGGCCACAAAACATAATTTCTGTTTAGACAACTTTAGCCCCAGCTCCAATTGCAGTGGCTTCTGGCCAAAAGCATTGCAAAAAGGGTTTAGAAATAAAAAAACAGAAAAGCAAAACACAAAAAAAAAACGAACAGGGTCATAATTATTGCGCCAACAAAGACAGCAGCTGCAACATCAGGCAGCGGTAAACGATGTTGCCAGCAGGCAGGCACCAGCTGAATTTTCGGTATAATTTTCACTTTGGCCAAGAAACTTTTTCGCTGCCGCATTGAATTTGCAACCAGCTAGTAGTAAGCAGCAAGCAGCTAAGCCCGGCCAAAAGCAACAGCAACAAAGTTCATGAGTTGATTAGAAACTTTTTTAACCGCTGTTGCTGCTACATCCTTAACCCGCTGCAATCCTAGAGCCATGCTTTAGGAGATCCTACACTGGGGTAAATTCTTTAAAAAATATAAATATAAACTCTAATATGTTTTTAAGAATTAAAAAAGTAATCCTTTTGGAAAAATACTAAAAACTTCTACAAGAAGCACTTCTATGAAATCATAAAAATAATTTTTTTTAGATTTAACAAAGAAAGGACCAAATCCTTTTCCAATCACAACGTATCATAGTTTCTTTAAGTGAACTGTTGCTAATGGCAGCCCGTGAGCTTGGCATATGCGAAGAGACCTCAATCCGTGGCTTAGGTTCCCAACTCTCCACTATATGGTATATATGGTAGTGGTATAGGAATACGAGTTGGTTGCCGGGGTTGCCGGGGTTGCCGGCTTATCGCTTGGCTGCTTTGTCGCCGGGCAGGGGCATAAACTATGCGAGCATCAACTTTTTGTAATTAATTTTTAATGTGTGCAAAATGTTTGTGTAAACGAGTATGTTGTTGTTTGTTGTGTTTGTGTGCTGCAGCACCGCCATATCAAGCGGATGTCGTTAGAACGGTTTATCAAGCGTTCTAAGAGCCGGATAAACTGCGGCTCCTCCAGTGGGGCATACACATATACTATATACTATTTAAGTTTGGTGCTTAGCTCGGTGTAAATAATTGGATTTCGCTTAAAACTGGTGGGTTGCGAGCCAAGGCTGGCAGGCTTTTACTTCTTCAAACGGAATTTCTTGCACTAATTGCATATGACAATACTGCATAACAGCCACATCCCAAAAGAACCACCTGACACCCCCAAAAAATAAACCACCCAACACCCATTTAACACCCACGCAGTGTGGGAATGAGAGGGAAGAAGGAGCCGCGCAGACCGCATAACGAGAATTGGCATTGGCAACTTGCAGCAATTTGAGAGAACCAAAAATTGATTTACCCTCAACTGCAAGTCTTTTGGTTTCGAAGCACTTTGAAAAAATATGTTCTCCTACGAGTATCGACGTTCCACTTCAATGGGAAACTTACCTAGAAAGAAGAATTAGTGTCCCTTTCCTTTTTCTTTGCCAGCCTTGCACTGCTGCCATACATCAATCACTTTTCATTCAAATTGAATACCAAATCCGGATGATACTTTTTCCCTCAGTGTAGTAAGCCCACCTCCTCGTTTACGCTTTACCCAACTCGCATCCATCCATCCATCAGATAAACGTTTTGCTATCTGCAATCTGGGAATCACATTCTACCTCTTTGTCCACTCCATCCACTCACGCTGTCTACGCTTGTGTTCCCGGAACATTTTTGCAGAGATTTGCGTTTCAATCACATCGAGGAGCTGCCGGCCAACGCGTTCAGTGGTCTCGGCCAGCTGACGACGCTCTTCCTGAATGACAACGACCTGGCTTACCTGCAGGATGGGGCTCTCAATGGACTCTTTTCGCTGAGGTTCCTCTATCTGAACAATAATCAACTAAGCCGCTTACCGGCGGCCATCTTCCACCAAATGCCACGCCTGGAGGCGATGTAAGTGAACCCGCCTTAATTAAGGATCCCCCCGAGCAATCGCCTTACCCCCATCACCGTCCTTCTTCGCTTTCAGTTTCCTGGAGAACAATGACATTTGGCAGCTGCCCGCCGGGCTCTTTGACTACTTGCCGCGTCTGAACCGCCTGTAAGTCGATGATGATTCCACATTTTTTTTGTGAGGGAACTGTCACTAACTTTTTGGACTGTTCTGTATCCTCGGTCCAGGACCATGTTCAACAACAAGCTGACCCAACTGCCGGTGAATGGATTTAATCGGCTAACCAACTTGAAGCGCCTGCGACTGGACGGCAATGCCATCGACTGCAACTGTGGAGTCTATTCGCTCTGGCGCCGCTGGCACCTGGACGTCCAGCGCAAAATAGTGTCCATCACACTCTTCTGCGCTGCTCCTCAACTGCTGCAACATAAAGAGTTTGACAGCCTGGGAGAACAACACTTCAAGTGCGGTAAGCATACCAATTTTCATATATCCTAAAAACTATAATGAGGTAATTTGCCAAGAAAGTTATTTTTCCTAATAAGTTTTCTTAATAAAAAGTTGCTGAAATCCAAGCCAACTTTATTTATAAATAAAAGTTCCTTAAAATTCGCTTGAAAGAAATTTCCTTAAAAGCCTTTCACGATTGAAGGCACGATTTCTGATATGCGCCACAGATGCATTTTAATACCGAATCCGAATTGATGGCCACTCTGGGTGGCATTACTTGCAGCCAAGCCGCAGTTTCTGGTGGCACCCCAAGACGCCCAGACCGTCGCCGGGGAGCAGGTGGAGCTTAGCTGTGAGGTCACTGGCCTACCCCGGCCCCAGATCACGTGGATGCACAACACCCAGGAGGTGGGTGGTGGCGAGGAGCAGTCGCGGGCCGAGATCCTACCCAGCGGCAGCCTGCTCATCCGTAGTGTGGACCCCAGCGACATGGGCATCTACCAGTGCGTGGCTCGCAACGAAATGGACGAACTCCGTTCCCAGCCTGTACGCCTGGTAGTTAATGGCGGTAACCACCCACTCGATTCACCCCTGGATGCCCGCAGCAATCAGGTGTGGGCGGATGCCAGAACATCCACACAAGCATCGTCGCTATCGCCATCGCCACCGCACTTCACCCACCAGCCGCACGACCAAATTGTGGCCCTCCATGGATCCGGACACGTGCTCCTCGATTGCGCCGCCTCCGGCTGGCCACAGCCGGACATACAATGGTTCGTCAATGGCCGGCAACTCTTGCAGTCCACTCCCAGCCTCCAACTCCAGGCCAATGGCAGCCTCATCCTGGTCCAGCCCACCCAACTCTCGGCCGGCACGTATCGCTGCGAGGCTCGCAATTCTTTGGGCAGCGTCCAGGCCACCGCCCGCATCGAGCTGAAGGGTGAGTAAATGTCAGGGATGCTCGGATTTAAGTGGGATATATTTTAGCCAGACTACAGGTAGAGAAATGCTGTTTAAATTTGGGGAAGTGCCTAGGTATTCAGGAACCTTTGCTATATTAAACTAGCTTATATGAACACGAAACCTGCATACATCATAATAATGTGCATTTTAATATTGCACATATAAGGTAAAAAGATGTACCCACTGACTACCCATCTCTGAAAAAATCCTGGAGCAGTGCATATAGTCCTCTTCTCTGGCCACACTCCCTCGTCCTGTGACAGGCACCCAGTTGCACTCGGAATAAGAGTCACAACTGTCGCGCTTTACACAATTTGCAGTCGATTTAATTTGTTTTCGTCTGGGAATGGGAAATGGGAAATGGCAGCAATTCGGTGGATGGGGACTGGCATCGAGACTGACCAGGATACTGGCCATGCCAACTCCACTGATATTGGAGCATTGGGACTTTGCAGAGGAGTTTGGCCAGCGGGAAAACCCCACTCCTCTATAGAAATATTGCGACAACTTTGACAGCAGGTGGTGTTGGTGATTGGATGGAACTTTATGTAGACAAATCAAATCACAAAAGTTTGAATTTTTGCACTCGACAAAATTGCTGATTTACTAAAGAAATTTAAGCAATTTTTTTAGAAAACTAAGTTGCTTTTACTTTCTTTCTTTATAGGAAATAATATAAAACAAATACCATACGAGTTTTATGGAAAATCAAAACACTTCTCAAAATTATTATTTTATTTAAATTTCATAAGTTTAACTTGTTTTTTACCAGTGCAATGACTTTATGCAATAGTAAATAAATTGCTCTGGGTTTGATTGGCGCACATTAAGCTCTTTCGCCTCGTAGCTTCTTGCTCATTAAATAACCGAAGAAGTGCATCCCGGCAGGAGGTTAACCCCGAAACAAGTTGGCACTTGAGCTCTTTATGTTTTTCCATTCGTTATTGCCGTATTTCGAGCGTTTGTACGTGACTGTACTTTATGGCGCAATAGAAATGGCCATTGGGGAGTGAAATGTATATTTATTAAAGCCTCAGGGAAATGGGAAACTCTGGCGGCCAAAAGTGCATCCACCGCCTTGATGCCGCACAATGGCTCATTATAATTTGTGGTTGTCGGCACAAAATGAAGTGCGAAATTTATGCATTATTTTGCAGAATTAAGTGCAAAAATTATAAACTATTATGTGCGGCGCGGGCACGCACAAATTGTGCGCTGCGGTTTGAAAAATGTTGAATGAGGAATGAGGATTAGGGGATCAAGGGATCAAGGGGACCTCGGGAATGAACTGTTTAAGCAGTCAGGCATGGCGCTTGGTCAGCATAATTAACCCGGCGAACGACGCATAAACAGACACGGCCAAACACTAGGACAAACACAAACACTCGCATATAAATATAAATAAATATGGTGGCCACGCTGAAAAGTATGCAGCGGGAATTTTATATTTCATATTACGCATACGCCCCAGGGTCCAGGACCGAAGCACAGTGGGCTTTAAAAGGGAATAAGTGGAAAGTTGGTATGAAAGAAAATTTACAATTTTAAAAAAATTTAATTAATATAAATAAAGTATTAATAGTTAAGTTATTTTTTCATAGGCATATAATATTTAGAAAATGTGTACCCTAAATTTAGTTTAGGTATCAGAAATGTACTTACCACGTTTTATTTCCAAACTAACTTTAAAAGTTTTCATGAAATACGCTTTTGAAAACTAATTTCCACGGCGTATCGCTTTAAGCGGGTCAAAAGGCGAGCGTTGGCGGTGGGGATTGGTGGGTTTTTGGTGTTGCTGCGCCAACAAAAGACTCATAGAAACCGAACCCAGAGCACAGGCCTCGCTTTAGTCGCTTGTTGCTGCCATTTGGAGCAGTAAAATTGCTCGAAAATCACTCATCCGCCCCGTTGCACCGCTTGCCACTCTTGCAGAATTACCCGAAATTTTAACGGCACCGCAAAGCCAAACAATCAAACTGGGCAAGGCCTTTGTGCTGGAGTGCGATGCCGATGGCAATCCACTGCCCACTATCGACTGGCAGTTCAATGGAGTCCCCCTTGCGGGAGATACACCCGATTTGCTGTTGGAGAATGAGAACACAGAACTGGTGGTGAGTGCTGCCCGCCAGGAGCATGCCGGTAAGTAGGGAAAGTGATTGCCAAAATGGTTTACATTTCATTTCATTCGATACCTTGGACATTATCCTGTGAATCCTGTCTCTCTCTCTGTCTATCCCCTCTCCCTTCACCAGGTGTCTATCGCTGCATTGCGCGAAATGAAAACGGAGAGACGAGCGTCGAGGCCACCATTAATGTGGAACGGTCCCAATCTCCGCCGCATCTCGCCATCGAGCCGAGCAATTTGGCGGCCATTACAGGCACTACCATCGAGCTGCCCTGCCAGGCCGACCAGCCGGAGGACGGACTGCAGGTAAACTTACTTACCCGGATTGGCCACGGAATCGGAAACTTTTTTATTTGCCCGCCACTTGTTGACGTTTCCCTTTGGTCTCATTTTCCGCCCGGCCACCGGAAAAAATAACCCTTAAGTTGGGTTTTGGGTATCATCACCAGACATATCCATACTCTAAAGATTAAAAAATAAACTTTATATTTAACGAGGAAACATCAAACCTATAATAATATTAACAATATAAATAAATCCATTCTTATTTTTTCCCCTGCACATCTTTAGATTTCGTGGCGCCACGATGGCCGGCTCATTGATCCCAATGTGCAGCTGACAGAGAAATATCAAATAAGCGGCGCCGGCAGTCTCTTCGTCAAGAATGTGACCATCCCCGACGGCGGGCGGTACGAGTGCCAGCTAAAGAATCAGTTTGGCAGGGTTTCCGCATCCGCACTGGTTACCATCAGGTGAGCAAACGGAAGATTCCGAATCAAAATCAAATAGCTCAACTTTGAGCACCGACCGCAACTTTAATTGCGCTGTCGGCGGCGTGAAGGGCGGATTGCATAAAACTCCATTAAAATCAAAGGGAAAACTTTTGCTCAAAGGCGAAAGAACTGGGGAAAACTGGCAAGAAAAGGCCTCTGCCGGCAGAGGACGCACTTAAAATGCGTTTAAGTGCGCGGTAAAGTTGCTTAATTAATTGAAAAATAGTTGAGCCGCAGAAAAACTGAACATTAACTTAACGATGCTGTGGATGATGATGAAAAATGTGTGGGATATGGGTTTAAATTTCTATCAAAATTCCATTGAATTAAAATATTAAATCTGCAAATATGGATAGTTCTTACATACTCATCGGTCTTAATCCCAACTATATGGTAATCCATGAATAATCCTATAAAGTTTGTTTTAAAATCTAACCAAAATGTGTTACAATTGTTGCTGGTAGATTGGGAGTCTGCATGCCCCAAATGATTTTGTAATCCTTGCCGAGCTCCACTGAACTAAATTGCTTGGAAACCACTCCCGCAAAACTATGAAAAGAACATAAAACCATAAAATAAAGCTGCTAGCTAAACTGCTGCACAGTGGTCGGAAAATCAAAGAAAACTCTGCTGAAATTCATGGGAAATCCAGAGGAGTACGAGGATAAACATCAAACTGCGACTGGCTGTTATCAAAAGCAGTTAACAGCTGCACAAACTTGCTAATCCTCTCCAGTTGCCAAGGCACTGGACTCCACTGTGTTGTCAGCTAAACTGCAAATAAAATATGCACCAAGAACATCAAAAGGCGGCGAGGAAAGCACAAAAGTTGTCGCCGCACCGTTCCTAGTTGGTAGTTGCGAGTTGCCAGTTTTTAGTTACCAGCTTTCTGTTGCCAGTTGCCAAACTGAAAAACGTGCTAAGCCCGGAAAAGCTACGTGCCACACTCACCCTTACATGCAGCCGAACGGGGAAAATGGCGAAAGACACAGGCAGTGAAAATTCCTCACTGAGGCAACCGCACAAGTTATCCAAATTGCCCAAATTGAAATTGAGTTGACAAGTTGCTATCTGCAACAAGAAATAGAAATGCTACACACTGAATAAAATCTAGTTATTAAGATAATAAATTCGGAGAGAGAAAACTAAAAAGATTAGAATGAGCATGATCAAAAAACAAAATGAAATGAATTTGAGTTAGTAGAAGTTATTTTAATTAAATCATCATCCATCAATATTGGTCAGGTAAGATAAAGCTAACTAACAAATAAGAAAGTAACTGAATTTGTTATTGATTAGTTTTTGAATTAGCAATTCTAGTTTTGAAGAACGCATTGCTCAAACATTCAGTTCAGAGATAGATATTTCTTAAAGTGCATGGAAACTAGAACTTGTACCCATCTTGTACCTCAAGTTCTACTCTCCTTTTGCGGCCTTAGAAGTTTTCAAATTGTTTGTTCCGAAAAAAGCGACACGATGTGAATTTATCGAGCAAATGGTCCTTGCATATCCGTCCGCCACAGGCCGTAAATCAATTTGAGGCGGCAAAAAAGTAGCTGGGAATACGGACTTGGCCATTAACCACCGACTGGCGAACGGAGACCAATGATGGCCCACAAAAGAACCGCCGTGGCGGCTTACTTTCTGCTTACACAGCCATTTTCCTGATGCATAATGCAGCAGCAGCAGCACTATGGCCGGGAAAAGCGGGTGGATAATGTGGAAATCTGGGGGATTTCCATGTGTGTGGGGTATACGGGCGGAGCATTTAGTGCCAGGAACGATGGAAGCTGAATCGGCTTACAGTTCTTCGCCGGCAGCATTAGAAACTTTACTCATTACGCCGGGAAAACCCAGTCGCCAGACCGCAGCAAAGCAGCGGGGCAGAGAATTATAAAGAAAAAATCCAAAAAGGGTGTGAGAACGAAGCGTCAAAAGTGAAAAACTATGTTGGAAGAAGGCAGGAGTCGCAAGGATCTGGTTCTCCCACTCCTTACTTCCCTACCCCTATAAAGAGCGGGTGAAAACCGCTGAAAGACCTCGACGAAACCAGTGCAACAAAAATATACGAAAACAGCAAGCAAAGACAGAAGCAGGAGCAGGAGCAGGAGCAGCCGAGCACACAGAAATCCGCCTAAGTTGTGGGTAATGCTGGGCGTAAAACAAAAGCTTATCCTGTTACTGCCATTCCTGTTGTTGCTGCCGCTCCTTATGGAGCTACTGCTCCTCTGATCCTGCTGCTGGCAAAAAGGCTAACCACGGAAATACATTGCCGTACGCCGCAGCATGTGGCAATGGGTGAGTGAGACGGAAGCCAGGACCAACAAAAAAACTTTACACCAAATTAGGCAACGGCAAGTGCTGACAGCAGTGATACCCTTACGATAAAAGGGATATATTTTGAATAAATTTTAAAATATTATAAAAATGCAAATTTGTAGCACAACAAATCTGAACACATGTTCTTCGTTATTGAGCTTAAGTTTAAGAATAGTCGCTAGTATGACGACTAAACTACTATTTTAAAGGATTATGGATAAATAATTCAATCTATAACTTTATTCACAAATAAAGTAGAAAATGTTCTATAAGTATTCTATGATAATTTTAGCCTTGACTTCCTTACTTTTAAACACTTTTCTTGTGTTGCTTTTTGAGACACTCCCAAAAACCATTATCTGCTGAAATAATTGTAAGAGTGATTCCCAAAACTTTTCACAAAATTATCAATGTCCAAAATACCGTGGGCAATTGTCAACTGTAAAACAACGGACGCCCCGTCGTGTCGCCCCAAAAAAAGGACGACAAGGCAAAAGGGCAGCCACAGAATGGCAGCGTGGAAATATGTAGTCCCTGGCTCCGCAAAATATCCACTGCCACAGGACCAGCAGAGGACCAGCGCCACGACGACCAGAACCAGTGGCAACTGATAGTGCCAGACTTCTGGTGCAACAGGGTGTATTATGGTCGTTAAGTTATTACTTACAACGTCGCCTCCGCCGCACAATGCCAAAGTTTACACAGGCGAAAGTTTCCTAAAGGAGCATTCCTTGGCAGCAGAATGCAAGGCATGAATTGTTGTTAATGCTGGCCCACTACCACTCCCAACCCAACCTCCTCCCCCATTCAGAGTTGGAAAGCAAAGAGCAAAGCGCGGATTTTTTATATATTTCTTTTTTGTGTAAAAAAGAATGCAGCATAATTTCGTAGGAAAGACAGGCGCAGAAAGGGGAAATAGACTGGCTGGCATTTTTATTAGACAACGCAGCCATTCGGGCGACTCCTGGCACTGGCATTATGGTAATTAAAATGTGCAAATTCCCTAAGATATCTTGATTGTTTCAGCGCTTTGTGTTCTTTATGGGGGTGTCAACTTTTAGCTTCAGGCATTTAATAAAGATTAATCAAATATTAAAACCGAATCTGATAGAGTAATGCAGTTTTTAAGGAAGGACCTACAGATCAGTTTCACCATAGCATATTATTCCGGGTCATCAAAGCTCAGAATGGTGATCATAAATTTCTATATACCATCATAACCCTCTATTTTTCTTCTCTCATTAGAAACAACGTGGACCTGGCTCCTGGAGATCGTTATGTGCGCATTGCCTTTGCTGAGGCAGCCAAGGAAATCGATTTGGCCATTAACAACACCTTGGACATGCTCTTCTCCAACCGGTCCGATAAGGCACCTCCCAACTACGGTGAGCTTCTGCGTGTTTTCCGTTTTCCCACCGGCGAGGCTAGGCAGTTGGCACGTGCAGCAGAGATCTACGAGAGGACACTAGTTAATATCCGAAAACATGTACAGGAGGGAGATAATCTTACCATGAAGAGCGACGAGTACGAGTTCAGGGATCTGCTTTCCAGAGAGCATTTGCATCTAGTGGCAGAACTATCAGGTTGCATGGAGCACCGTGAGATGCCCAACTGTACGGATATGTGCTTCCACTCGAGATACAGGAGTATTGATGGCACCTGTAATAACCTGCAACATCCCACGTGGGGAGCTTCACTTACTGCCTTCCGCAGATTGGCGCCACCAATCTATGAGAATGGTTTTAGTATGCCTGTGGGATGGACAAAGGGAATGTTGTATTCGGGTCATGCCAAGCCCAGTGCCAGATTGGTATCCACTTCCATTGTGGCAACAAAGGAGATAACACCTGATGCCAGGATCACCCACATGGTGATGCAGTGGGGTCAGTTCTTGGATCACGATCTGGATCATGCTATACCATCCGTGAGTTCAGAGAGCTGGGATGGCATCGATTGCAAGAAGAGCTGCGAGATGGCCCCACCATGTTACCCCATCGAAGTGCCGCCGAATGATCCACGTGTTCGCAATCGTCGTTGCATTGATGTGGTGCGATCCAGTGCCATTTGTGGATCCGGCATGACATCCCTCTTCTTCGACAGTGTTCAACATCGCGAACAGATCAACCAACTCACCTCGTACATAGATGCCTCGCAGGTTTATGGCTACAGTACTCCATTTGCCCAGGAGCTGAGGAACCTGACTGCCCAAGAAGGATTACTTCGAGTGGGCGTCCATTTCCCACGGCAGAAGGACATGCTGCCCTTTGCTGCTCCTCAGGATGGCATGGATTGCCGTAGGAACCTTGATGAGAACACCATGAGTTGCTTTGTTTCGGGCGACATCCGTGTGAATGAGCAAGTGGGTCTCTTGGCCATGCACACAATTTGGATGAGAGAGCACAACAGGATAGCCAGGAAACTGAAGGAAATCAATTCCCATTGGGATGGTGATACTTTGTACCAGGAATCCCGAAAGATAGTGGGTGCCCAGATGCAGCACATCACCTTCAAGCAGTGGTTACCTCTGATCATTGGCGAAAGTGGCATGAAGATGATGGGCGAGTACAAAGGTTACAATCCTCAAATTAATCCCAGCATTGCCAATGAGTTTGCCACGGCTGCCCTGCGATTTGGACACACCATCATAAACCCCATTCTCCACCGTTTGAATGAGACCTTCCAACCGATACCACAAGGTCACCTGCTCCTCCACAAAGCCTTTTTCGCTCCCTGGCGTTTGGCCTACGAGGGTGGTGTGGATCCCCTGATGAGAGGCTTCCTGGCCGTGCCTGCCAAGCTCAAGACTCCTGATCAGAACCTTAACACTGAGCTAACTGAGAAGCTCTTCCAAACTGCTCATGCCGTGGCTCTAGATTTGGCTGCTATCAACATCCAGAGGGGAAGAGATCACGGAATGCCTGGATACAATGTCTATCGTAAGATGTGCAATCTAACAGTGGCCCAAGATTTCGAAGATCTAGCTGGCGAGATAAGCAATGCGGAGATACGGCAGAAGATGAAGGAACTGTATGGACATCCGGATAACGTTGATGTTTGGTTGGGTGGCATCCTAGAGGATCAAGTGGAAGGCGGCAAGGTCGGTCCGCTATTCCAGTGTCTGCTGGTCGAACAATTCAAACGCCTGCGAGATGGCGATCGTTTGTACTACGAGAATCCTGGTGTCTTCTCACCCGAACAATTAACCCAAATTAAGCAGTCCAACTTTGGCCGAGTGCTCTGCGATGTGGGAGATAACTTCGACCAGGTCACCGAGAATGTGTTCATTTTGGCCAAACATCAGGGTGGCTACAAGAAGTGCGAGGATATAGCTGGCATCAATCTTTATCTGTGGCAGGAATGCGGCAGGTGCAACAATCCACCAGCAATCTTCGATTCCTACGTGCCTCAGACCTACACCAAGAGGAGTAGCAGACAGAAGAGAGATCTCCATATGGAGGACAAGCCGGTGGCCACCGCCGAAAGCTATGATAGTCCTTTGGAATCCCTCTACGATGTCAACGAAGAAAGGGTCAGTGGGCTGGAGGAGCTGATTGGCAGCTTCCAGAAGGAACTAAAGAAGTTGCACAAGAAGCTACGTAAACTGGAGGACTCCTGCAATTCCGCTGACTCCGAACCGGTGGCTCAGGTGGTGCAGCTGGCAGCGGCCCCAGCTCAGGTGGTGTCCAAGCCGAAGAGAAGCCACTGCGTCGACGACAAGGGCACCACGCGACTGAACAATGAGGTGTGGTCTCCGGATGTCTGCACCAAGTGCAATTGTTTCCACGGACAAGTGAACTGCCTAAGGGAGCGATGTGGCGAAGTCAGCTGTCCGCCGGGTGTGGATCCACTGACGCCTCCGGAGGCCTGCTGCCCCCACTGCCCGCTGGTCAAGTGAGGGCCCAGCCAAAGAATTACGCATATCGATGTACACCTTTATCCGTAGTAGCCACTCACTCTAATCGAAACAAAAAAACAAACACACCGGCAATTGCGCAATGAGCATGTTTAATTGACAATTAACTAACAATGTACTGCTACACATGTAATAAAATAAAGCACATTAATAACCCATCAAAGTATTAGCTACCTTGGGATTGTTTTGTCATCTAACGTTCCAGTCTAGTCGTATTTGATATACTTCAGATGAGTTCCCTTGGCTATCACCGTATCGTCCTTCTTGTGCTTCAAGGTGCAGTCAATGAAGGCGAGATACTTGCCCACTTTAGAAAGATTGGCCTCAATCAACACCTCATCCCCCAGTTTGGCTCCATTCAAAAAGTTCACACTCATATCCACCGATACGCCGGGATGACAGGGCTTTGACATCAGGGCGTAGGTTGTAATCATGTCAACAAGGGTCATAATATAACCACCGTGCAAAAACTTGTACAGATTAACGTGATCCTGATCTATCTTTAGTTCAGCAGTGCAGGCTCCATCACCGCCATCCAAAATCTTGACCTTTGTTTGGGAAGAAGATCAAGATAAGATATTCATGAAAATAGTTGGCGTATTACCTTTTTTAGGTGACTTTCAAAGCCCGTTGATTTGGCAATGATCTCGGTGATGTGTTTGGCGAATTCTACTCCTTTCTTACGGGTTCCCATATTCTTTATCGGTGGATGTTGTTCTATAGACAAGCTGTAAGCTTCTAGTAACCTGCAAAAAGGGTTGGTTTGATCAGGAAAATTAAAAGAATACTAGATACTGTTGCGCAGATAGAAAGATAGTCGTATCAGACACTTAAATCTCAAGTCCCAAGTACTGATAATTTTACGAGAACAGTAAATTTTTTTGTAGGGTGTTGCTTAGGGGAGACGGCTTTAGGATCCGATGACATCAAAGGTAGTTCTTAGTACTTGAAGTACTTCAATTACGTATGAACACATATGACCTGTGTAAATGTCAATAGAATTGGTATATCTCTTTAATACAAATCATAGCTTTATATTAAAAAATTGGTTGCTTTGTTTTTATTACAGTATTTGCTTTCTGTATCTTAAAGTGCACTTTTCCGGGAATTTCACTTACTATGATACAGATAAAGATAATGATAAAAAACTTTATGTTATTGAACAATAAGGAATGTGAAACCTACCAAATAGCGACCGGAAAGTGTCGAGAAACGTAACACTTTCCAAAATAGCCAGCCAAAATTTCAAAACAAAAATCAGCTGTCTTATCGATAAGGCCTGTGCGTAATCGATAAGTCAAAAAGAAGTTAAAAAAATATCCAGCTTAATATCGATGAGGATTTTAATTTCTTTAATTCAATTCCTTTACAAAAATTTTATAACAATATCGCAGTAATTTATTTCTTTATATTAAGACCACAACTTTGGATAATCTTAATAAAATTAAGCAAAAATAGATCAAATAGTTATTTAATTCAACCTAATGCCTGCAAATTATTTTAAAAGTCTAGCTTTTCCTTGTCAAATTGAATGTACTTCACTTGGCCTCCCATGGCAATGATCTTGCCATCGGTTTTGCGCCTAAGAATGCAATCCAAATAGGCCATTTTCTTACCGGCCCGCACAGTATTACAATCTATCTCAAGGACATCCCCAAGATTAGCCGGAGCAAGATAGGTGACATTCAAATTTGCCGTAACCCCGGGATGGGATCCTGTTGAATTTAATAAACCTTAATATTCTTTTTAATTAGCGAATCAAAATAAAATTACCCTTGGAAATCAAGGCGTACGAAGTACAATTATCAACAATTGTGGCCGTCAGACCGCCATGAAGAGTCCCTTGCCGATTCAAGTGCTCAGCGGCTACAGTAAACTCTCCCAATGCACGGCCATCGCCACCTCCTGTGATTTTAATCTGAGAATTCAATTGAAGTCATTATAATTTTAAAACTTATTTAGATCTCTTGACTGAGATGGGCATTTTAAAACCGAACTTATCGATAATAACCACCTCGATTATATAATGCCATCACTGCCGACAGCCAGCTGTTCTTTTTTTTGAGAGACCTCATCGGCGTCGTTTGTTGCACTTTTTGTTCATAATCTTACCATTCTCAGGACCCTATCAAATCCATTGGTACCACTAGCGTACTCGCATATCTGCTTCACGACGTCCTTTAAAAGAGAATAACTATAGTAAAAGTTCACGGTGTATGTGGTGCACTAACCATTCCTAATTTTTTGCTCGCCATTCTGCCGGATTTCGATTGAAGTGAACTGAGCGCTACGAAATGACAAAAGTTAGTGAGGGAGAAATTTCTGACGGCGACCAAGATGTCGGGAAATGTAAGTGTATGAGTGCTTTAAAGGCACACCAATACAACGGAGATAGTGATAGTGATTGTCGAGTTTACGCGGTTTGTTGTGCTCGACCTGTTCGTACCAACAAAATATTTGTAAATATAGCTGCCATCTAATCTTTTTTTTTTGTAATATATCCACTAAAATCTAACTAAAAATCTTGTCGCAACTAAAAGTTACCCTTTAAATATTTGATATACGATTTATATCCTCAATGCTAGGTGGTCTGAATTTCCCGCTCCTAGCCAAAGGGTTTGTCCGACAGGATTCAACACACGATTTTGTGAACAATCACTCGGAGGGCAACTTTATAGCTTTAAGCGGTTCCAAATCGGAAGTGGTCACCTTGGAGTTGAGTAGCAAATTCTTAGTCATCGAACCCTTTCCCTACTTTGTAGCTGTTTTGGAACCCAAAGTAGTGGAACCTAGACCCCTTGACGTTTTGGCCAAGCGAGTTGATCTGGTGGGCATATACGATAGCTGTGATGTCCTGGAGGCACAACATTTGGCCCTAGAGCCAGCATACACGGCAGTTTGCTCCGTTTCTGTGCCAGCAGCAAGATTAATAGCTGTCAAAAGGGCACCCAAGTTGCTCACAAATGGAAACCTTCTACTGGCCTCCCTGAACTCCTTCGGATACTTCAGTCTAATGAGCAAACCCGCCGAGTACAACCGTTGGAGTCGGCTAGAAGAACTCAATATCGCTGTCGTCCTGAGGGACACTCTTCTGCCTGAAATCGACGTGGCCAAGATAAAAAATTTTGAGAAATATCAGGCATATATTAATCGAGCCTGGATCACAACGTTTACTTGGTTACCGGATGATTCAAATACCAGTGGCCAACACGTTTTGATCCTAGGAACTGCGAGTGGAAGTTTGTGGTTGCTCACAATGAGCCCCGATGCGAAAACTCTTTTGAATCACCAACAAACGGAAACCTCTTTAGGTCGCATTTGCTATATACACGCTTTCAATGACCTGTTGCTGGTTGGCGATATCAAGGGACTAATCCATCTTTACCAGTTTTTACCAGAGGGTCTTGTCTTGGCAAAGCCTTTGTGGGAAAAAGCTGATCGATTGGGTCTTCAAATGGCCGAAATAACTCAATGTCCTATCAAGGATTGCTTCTACATCACCTGCTGTAAGGCGGCACATTTGCTGACCTGGAGCATACTAAGATTAAGGGAGAAGGAATGGCTGGAGACGCGGCTCTATGTCGGCGGTATGAAGATCACAGGACTCTGCACTCTGGGCAACAATAGCTATGTTGCGGGAACCGTAGGCAGCGGTTTGCAACGGATTCAAATCATTCACGAGAATAACCAGATTAGCCTGCAGATGCAATCGATCGCCCTCGATGTCCTTCGAGACTTCCAGGTGATGGGACTCTGCACCACCAAGCACAAGAACCTAATGACCGTGTGTCTTTACCGCAACAAGGAATATATGAGCCAAACAGTGCCTCAAAAGCAGCAATTGGTTATGCAAGTGGTCAAGGTGGGGTATCAGGATGCACTATCTCAACTTATCAGACACTTGAAGTCCAATAATCCTATTAATCACTATACCGATTTACTAACTGAATTACGTCTTCACATATTCGAGGAGGAGAATTTGCAAAAATATATGAACTTTGGTCCATTGGATTCGTTTAAGTTTACTGATCCTGCCACAGAAGCTCAACTGCAGCAGTTGCAAGTTAAATTCCATGTTCTTCAAACTGTTCTCCACCTGCATTCAAGTTTACTTCAGCTTACTTGTCATATCAAAAAGACCAAAGATGAAATGCAGTTGCTGCTAGCGATGCTATTCATCACACACATAAGACTGAGACTCCAATTTATTGGGTCACTTAGTAAAAAAACGCCATTCCAGGAACAGGCGGCAAAGGGCATGTTTGAGGAGGCCCAACGACAGATGAACAAACTGAAGATTGACTTTACCGAGGAACACATTTTGGGAACAACCATAAAGATTTTTATTGACCAAATAAATAAGCATCTTCTGGCTTTGCGCAATAAGCTGGACATTTCCGTGAAAGCTGATCCCGCGGAGAAGCGTCTTCTTCGGTGCAATGTATCATTTGTGGAGGTAAGTCTCTATAATGATTAAATAAAAAAAAGTATCTAATATCTGTACAGATTTCTCCCAGCCTGGACCGTCGCTACTGTAGTCTCTGCGAGCGCCAGATACTTTTTGAGCTAGAGAAGCTACAAGAACTATTTAATTCTGGCAGAAATCTAATGTGCCCCGTGTGCCGAGGTAGCTTTGCCGTGGAAATGATAACTGCATAAACGTCAAATTTATTCTCAACCTTAACTACCAAGTTTTTCTCGTGTGTCCGCCTCTAAGAGCGGAGCAAGCGTATCCAAAAAGACACCTTGCTCGGCTACCAGATGCTGGCACACAAGGACGAAAAGAAATATGAATTAATGTCTAATACTCTGATACGTAAATAATGGGCGTTGTCTCAATCAGCAGAATGTCCTGCTCCACTTGCCGAAGATCGGACTCCAGCTTGCTCTTGCGCTGACGCTTGGCAATGCTGTCTATAAGCAGTGACATGGACTGATATTGCTTGGTCATGTCGGTCAAGCTCAAGCGAAGGCCCTCGAGGATCTCATTGCGCTCCGGCTGTTCCATCACCCGCATTCCAGGCACTTGCGGCGGACCACTCAAGTCTACGGAGGTCTTGGTGAATCCCTTAATCCCACGGCACAGCTCGAGTAAACGTGCCTGTTCCTTGGCGCACACTGCGTTCATGTCGGCGAGCATTCTCTTGGTTTTCTTCAGGTAAATTGGTACCTTACCGAAATCCTTTCGACAGATAAATTGCGGAATCAATCCGGAATTCAATAGATTGTGACGAGTTCCCGCAGGCGTGTCAACATAGCGAGGTGGCGGGGGACAGGGAATTGTCTGAGCTGCGCATAACTTATTACGTTTGATGAAATTGGGCGCCATGGTCGACTTGTGGCCGCCACTTCCTGGTGGGGGAAGTGGGGGCATTGGTGGCATCTTTGGACACTGGTGGTTTTTCTCCCGCCGCCACTTGACGCCCTGATTTTTACGCAAAAAGGCGCACGGTGGATCAATCGGAGTGTGGGCACAGCCCATCGTGCGATGCAGAGATTTCTTGGCCTCCGTCAAGATGCGAGTGCCATCGTTCTGCAAGATAACCGATAACTTCTTGTCCTCTTCGTTCATGCGTTCGCGAAGTTTTCTGGCATATTTAGCTGCCTTCTCCACAACAGCTGAAAGTCGAACGTGATGAAAGATATAGGGAAAGACCCATATAGGATCCTTGTAAAGATAAAGCCTTACGATTTTTGTAGACAAATATAGATTCCTTGGGTCCCGCTGCCTTCTCAAAATCGTGCTCACACCCGACAATGTTCTCATCGTGATGGGTGATATAGACTAGCGACATCTTTAATGAAAATATATAAGGTTGAAAGTAAAGAACTGTAAAGCGTGCTAGTTTACTGACTATTCGTATAATAATGGTAGTTTGTTTGATATCCTTTCAGCGTTGCCAAGTATTTATGTGCCGACTTCGATTGTTGTAACTTCAAACAAAGGTTGCTACAGTGATCCAAAGTTTTCAAAATAAATAAAAAAAAACTGTTACCTAGAGATTTATAAAACTTTCCCAAGAGTTGGGACGTAATATTTGTTCTAGAACTTTTTAGAAAACACAAATTAGTGGTATTATTGTATATATATATTTTTTAAAGCACAAAATCAAGCTACAGCTTGTGGCGCACACGTGTTACATTTATATATTGTAAATAATTTGTTACCATATAAAATTCGTGAATATAAATATTCCGCTTGCGTATATAAAATAATTAATTGCATTGTAAAATTAGCACTAAGTTCGTTTGTCAGGGTTACATTTTCATTAAAAAGCTTAACAATAGTCATGGAAGTGTTGGAAGCACGATTTAAATAAGAAAGACATAGATTTAGATACGGGTTACAGATTCGTAGCAGCAACAAAAAGTGCTGGTGCCGACTTACAATCTAGATATGTGGTTTAATGGGAATTTGACGATATTAACGAATGTAAAAGCCACTCGGAATTTGCACTGTTTTCTTTTTGAATGGTGTCAGCTCTATGCTGACTACCGATAGGCACTACAAAAATTTCGGATCCGCAACGTGGTCCTCAGTTATTGCACGTTGTCAATGGGGGTGTATTCGAGATATGGAACCATTATGCTGATCCAGCAGATTCACTTGTTGCCGCTGCTCTCGCGCTCCTCTCTGATCCTTTTAAATGCCTCCGTTTTGACAAAGTCCACCGATCTATAGACCACGCTGCTCGGTACTGCACCCCGTGCACCACCAGCCTCAACGCCGGCCAATCGCATTCCACCAGCCCCATTTCCACCTTGGGAATACAGATTACCCACACTCATACTCGATCGATTCAGTAGTGGCGGTTTGTTGGTCACATCCAAATCAAAGTACTGAAGTTTGTGTTCAGCCTGCGCCGGTTGCTGTTTAGGAGCGGAAGTTCCCACCATGATCATGGCTGCTGATGCTGTGCGCTGATGTTGCACTGACATGCTACCGGGACTATTAGGATGCTGTCGATGTTGTTGACGAGGCAGAGTTCGAGTCTCGTGGAAAACGGCGGATGCTGCCGGAGAATGGACATCTGTTTCATGCGGCAGCACCATAGATAGAGGGGCTCCAGAGGAGCGGCGCATTGCCGGCGACATGGTGGCCGAACTTCCCAACTAAATTTAAACATTATATTACTCAATGAAGACATACCACGATTATAACTCACCTTATAGACATGTGGTTTGCAGTTTCTGTCCACATTGGGTGGTCCAATCGGCTGCTGTAGTTGGGCTGCACCTAATTTACTGGTTAAATGCTCTACACCCACCGGGGGCTTTGCCGGAAATTCCTCCGGTGGTTTGTCCTCGACGGCCGGCAAACTTCCTTGCCCCTTCGGTTTCAAATTCCGGTTCACTGGTGGACAGTCCGCCTGCTCCATGAAATCGTATCGAAAGACATTGCCCTCCATCTTTGTGGGCGCTGCATTAGTATAGCAGTGGCGTGGCAAAGTTCGAGCACTAGTGGGTGACGAGGCGGTTGGTTGAACACCACCAATTTGGCCAGAATTGTCTGCACTTAATATGGCAGCCACTGAACCCAAATCGGCTGCCATGAGATTCGGTGTAGATGCGGCAATGGGATTTGAGTTGTGCGGACTGGTGACTGGTCGCTCGCCCAGCATCTGGTTGACATTGTAGTATGGTTGCTGATGGGAGCGTGGAATGTCGTAACTTTCCTCGATTAAAGCGGAGTGGGCATTGCGACGAGCCACAATGGCCGGTGAAGTGTTTTCCGTATCCGAGAGCTGCGGAAGCTCGCGAGGAATCCTGAAAACAAATAGTATATCAATTACTTCGAAATTCGAAATCTTTCTATTGTCCGCTTTTAAAACATACTTTTCGTTTTCCTTGAAGTCCAATATGAGATTATTTTTGTTCTTTAAAACTTTGGCCAGTTTATCTAACGTTCCTTGGTCACTAGCTTCTGCCAGGGACCCTGCACCCGCAAGCTTAGAATGTTTCTCAGCTGGTGACACCACAGAACCACCTTCCTCGGGCATTTTAGAAAAGCGCTGCGAATAGGTCAGTACGAACGATTCGTTCTCGATAGAACTATCCGAGGGTCTGGTACTGCGATCTGTAATAAGTCTTCAATTATTAACTATTCCCTGTAAAATTATGATTTTCTGTACTTACCGACATTCTCGCGCAGGGGTAAAGGATGAGCCCACTCATCGTCATCAGTAAAAACGCTTTCAGAATCGGAATCAGAGCGTTGTTTACTTGCATTGGTGTTGGCCAATTGTTGCTGGAAAAATATATATATATAATATATTTCTACGTATACTTTACTCCTCCTGCAACTTACCAAGCTTAAATTGGTGATTTTGGGTGAGTAGGATTGATCGTTGGTCAGATTTAGACCAATGTTGTTATGACTTCGCGGAGTATCGTAGAACTTGGGATCCAAGTTGTTCAATGGAGTGCTGGGGTTGTTTGGTATGACAACATCTGCACCAGGAGGTCCACACCCGGGCAGGAATCGCGGGCTGCCCGAGAAACACTCGCTGATGGGTATATATGGTCCGGACGCGGTGCTCAATGCGGGTGAGGCCTGCACGCTGCTGTGTTGCTGGGCAGCTGCCTCCGCCAGGGTTTGCTGGTTGAGAACAAGATGCTCGGGAAGCTTTCGCACCACTCCATTAGCGTTAACCGCCAAGCGAGCAGCCTGTTGCTGCTGTTGCTCCGCGGCTGCTGCAGCCGCCTGAGCTTGGATCAATGCACTGTGATTCAGATAAAGAGCAGTTGCCGGCGATGGAGGTGGTTGTTGTTGGGCAGCCGAGAGCAGATCCTGCTGGTCAAAGTTGGAATCACACAGCATCGTCTCGCGATTGCTGTACTCCGTGTTAACATAAACCGAGTCCGAATTGTTGTTCGCAGCATTTAAGGGCATTGGTTGTTGTTCAATGACTACCGGTCGTCGCAGTTGGGCCGCTCCTCCAGCATTTGGGCCTGCAACTTGAGCCGCTGTGGTTCCAGCGGAAGAGTGCAGGGAAGTGGTGGTGGTATTTTGTGTGGAGTTGCTCAGCCCGCCACTGGAGCTTGTGTGCTGGGTGCGGTTTTCATCTGCAAATATAAATAAAGAAAAACTTGAGATGGATTTCATTTTGGAGTAGTGCTTGATGACACTCACCTGTACCTACTGCTCCCAATGGTAACTCATTGGATTGCTTGGTATCGTGTAGGTGACACACCTGGCAGATGCAGTTGACCCAATCGCGCATATCCGCCTCTGTTTCGGCAGCCAGATAATAGGTTCGCTTGGGCGTCTTGATGTCAAACATATACTGAAACTTCTGCTTGCGATTCTCCAGTCGCAGCCCACAGTCCACCTGTTCGCACTGATCCAAATCGATGACGCCCTTCAGCTTGCGGCAGTTGTGGTCGGTGTAGTATTCGAGGCAGAACTGCTCCGGTATCTCGCCCTGCTTCAGCGTAAACCAGCGACGCCTCCAGCGCTGCAAAGATAAATTAAAAACGAGTTGTTAAAGATTTGGGATATGACACAAAGTTTGTAATAAATAAGAACTCTGAGATAGTTAAGTGACCTTCAACAGATAAGAACCGTGCCTTACATTAATGAAAAAGATTTGCGGAACGATGCTGGTTGGAATTAAATCGCATATATAAAAATGGGTATTATATATTTTCGTTCTAAATGGTATAGAATTTAGTTCACTTTGAATCGTTATCGTTGTTTGTTTACAAGCCATGGAGAACAAGGAGCTTATCCAATTTAGCAAAAACGGTAATTCCCCATTTTTTTTAATCTATCACAGTTTGAAGAAACAATTAAAAATGATAAGCGCCTTGATGCAGTAAACGGAAGGCTGTGGAAGGCTGTGGTAATCATTTAAATTTACGAAAGATGATGACTAACTAATCGAGATAATTAGTCATCTTAGCAAAGATGATAACGTTGTCCTCAATACATCTCACAATATTAATTTTTTAAAGTTAAGATTAAATTTCTTGTTTTTTTTTTTTTTTTTTTTTTTTTTTTTTTTTTTTGATTGATTGAGACCCAGAGAGAGATGCAGAGGTAGGTAGCTAATATAAGACAACATTTATAGTTAGTTGAGGTTTTATATTTCATATGAAAATTAAATATATGTTCTTTACTCGTTTATTTATACTTCTGTTTTGAATTAAGATACCCTTATTGGACTGTGGATGATGATATGAGGGTAGAGTCCGGCTGATCAGCTCGACGACCGACTGACTATACTATCAACATCAACATTAACTGCTGGTGAGTAAGCGGGTGATGAAGCAGCAAAGCCAACAGACGGCAGCGCCGCTGCTTTTCCGCGAATCATATTTTGCATTGACATTTTCTTGGGTAATCAGCAGGCACACACACACACACCCGCTCATATCAACACCCCACGCCCACGTTACCGTTAAGTGATTGCCGAAACAGCTGAGTGGTTCGAGGCCCCGCTGAAGACTGAGACCTCTAAGAACTGATAATGGATGGATTTCATTCGGACTGTATAATATCACGCTTAATTGAATTATAAACAATAAACATAATGCCACACACAAGCCAGAAATTGGCACCCCGAGGCGCTGGAAATACGCAGCTTATTTTCTTGAGGCATCATTATTGTTTGTTTATACAATGGCGCTCAAAATAATAGCATCCAAAATGTAAGTTGCTATTTTTAAAACACTTTAAAAAAATTTGTTTACCTTTTACATGCTTTGAGGGGGCTTTTCAAAACTGGCAAGACTTAGGATTACAATTTACAATTTATAGATTGCATTGGGTTTTTGGTTGATTTAAAAGTAGGAAAAGGTTAAGGAAAACTTTATGAAGATATAAAGCAGAGGGACTTAAGCTGTGCTAGTACTAAAAATTTTACCGCGATTACTTACTTAAACGAAACCGAACAAAATTAGTACAGTGAAACAATAAATTGGGTTTGCTGTAATTGAAACATGCTGTATTGCAGACCTTTTGATCAACATTTTGGGTGTTCTTGGAACTGACGTATCCATTATAAGTGGTTTCAAATGCACACACTAGTGGTGATCGCGTGAGAAAAGTATCGTGTCACAAATTTAGGGTTTATTTTAAATCAGAATATGTCGACTTTAAGATTTTTTAACCAAATAATAAAAGTTTCTTTTAGTGAACCATTGATGAAGAGGTTAAATTTTATATCCATTAAACAACACTCACACACCTATATCGAAAGCAACAACAACAAGCTGGATAGAAAAGTGTGTCATTGTTTTTGTGACTCCCATCGCTAGTTTATGCTGTTTTGTTGTTTTTATGCGTGATCCAATGTGGCTTATCGCCCGTGGACATAAAAAACAAGAAAACAGGCTACATATGGATGTACAGAAAAAACACACATACGCACACGAAATACGGAGAAAATAAATTTGATTAAACGTAACAGTTGGCGGTAATTTAATACACAAACAGCTCCCTTAAGTAAACATTAAACGGAAAATTAATTAAGCGTAAATTTAGACCAGCGCCAAAACACGTTCCCACGCCAAAAGCAAACATAAACAGAAAGAGAGTGCGAGCAGGAGGTGGAGATGAAGGGAAAGAGAAAGAAAAACGCAGAGGAAGCCATCGTAAATTCATTCACATTTTCGCAATTTCTGCTGCGGTTTTCAGCTTGTTTGCATTCCAATCAACTGCATTATGGAATACTGGAATCGCAATCCCTCGGCTTAATAATGAATTAAATTATACCACAAACAACAACGGCAAACAAACACACACATACACTAAAGCAGGCACCAATACAAGCTTGGCGTAATTGTAAAAAAAAATGCCACTTCCATTATCCACGATTTTTTTTTTCTTTTTCGTGACTCAATCGATGGACACAGATTACGGTATTCTCTTCCGGCCTTAAGTTTACCGTTGGTAAACCGCCAACTGCGGTTTTCTTTTCTTTTTACATTTCACTATATACTTGGAATTTCTGATTCGATTAGATTGGAATTTTAATTTCGAGCTGGGGATTTCCAGGAAAATTCCTTAGGTCTTATACACGAACAATCCGAAGGATTCATATAAGATTTGGGAGGATTTCCGGTGGAACTTACTGCTCGCCAAATGCGCTTGGTGGGTGGCGACTTAATTAGCCAGCCTTCGTAGAAAGTGCGATCCATTATTTTGCAGAGCTCGACGAAAATCACTCCGATTTATTTCACTCCGCGCACACCAACAACATTTAGAGGGACCGTTCGAGGTGTTCGCCAAATACCAACTAGTATGACAGTGCTTCCATTTTATTATATACTAAAATGTGTATTATTTTTTCATTTTCTTTAAAGGATTTTAAAAAAATATATATTAATAAAAAAAGGCTTTGTAACAGTTATAGGTTTTCATATTAGAAGCGGATTCCAAATAAAATATATATATATCTCTAACTTGAAATAAATTAATTAATGTTTGTTTATTTTTCATTAGTCACATTCGTTAATCTCATTGTATGAACCTTAGCTGGAAACAAAAATGTATGATACTTATTAAAGCCTTTCATGTATGATTTTATAAAATGACATTAATTGGCAAGTCAAAGATCTGGAGTAATAGAAAACATACTCCCAATTTCAAATATTAGATAAGCTTTAAATTGTTGTCAAAACTAAAATCCACGCTTCAAACAAGTTTCCACCAATATTAAAAGCTCAAAAAATTGTAAGGGATATTTTTACAAATAAGTTTTATTCCGCCGTGTCAAGCGTATGCCTAGAACATACAGATTTTCCATGTAGAATTGTAATTTCTCCCACAGCGCCGCACAGTAGAGTACGGCTACCACCCAGATCTCAGGCGGAACCTGTCCCACGCCGGAATCCTGCTGCAGCCAGTGCTTACTTGTCCTTGCTGTCGCCCTTGCCACCACGGATCCTACCGGTACGACGGGCAGCAATGAGACCGACCTTACGACCGGCGGATGTGCCTCGCTTGACGGTGGACGCCTTACCAATATGCTGGTGGTTACCACCACCGTGAGGATGCTCCACGGGGTTCATGGCCACACCACGCACCTTAGGCCAGCTGTTGCGCTTCACCTTGTACTTGTGGTAGGCACGACCGGCCTTCAGGATGGGCTTGTCGATACGACCGCCACCGGCGACGATACCAACCATGGCGCGGTTGGCCGAGGGCACGACCTTCTTGGCGCCGGAGGGCAGCTTGACACGGGTCTTCTTGGTGTCCTGGTTGTGGGCAATCACGGTGGCGTAGTTGCCAGAGGTACGGGCCAAACGGCCGCGATCACCGGTCTTCTCCTCCAGGTTGCAGATGATGGTACCCTCAGGCATCTGGCTCAGAGGCATCACGTTGCCGATCTGGAGGGTGGCCTTGCGACCGCAGTATACGAACTGGCCGGTGTGCATGCCCTCGGGGGCGATGAACAGCTCCTTACGGATCTTGTAGCGGTAGGGATCGCGGAAGTGGACGACGGCCAGGGGAGCGCCACGGCCAGGGTCGTGGATGATGTCCTGGAATAGTAAATGGTGATTAAGTTAGTTACTGTTAAACTATTGTAAACAAACTTAGTTATTTTAAACCTTCAACACTTGGAACAATGGAAATCTTACAGTGTCTATTTTTTGTGTTTATAATTTTAATTGTAAGTCGTGAAGTCTATCTAAGCATAATATTGTATGATACTGTGACTCCATACCTAAACTGCTTAAGTATCTGATGTGGTATGTTGTAAACCGATGACGCTGTCACTGAACAACTTCATTGGATAAGCAACAGACAATAAGAAATTGTTTTCTTCAGTGACTGTAAGATTTTCAGTTCAACCTGTAGCAAATTCCACTGAAGTTAACCTCCGGAAATGAGCTCACCTTGACGACACCGCGAATGTAACCGGAACGCTCGGCGAAGTCCAGGGAACGGAGCTTGGCGGCTCCCTTGCGCTTCTTCACGTGCGCCTTGAACACGGAACCAGCGCCCTTACGCTGTGCACGAATAACACGACCCATTGCTGAAAAGGTAAATACGCGATATTATTATTCTGTTTTTCAACTAACAAGTTCGCCATTTAACGCCATATCACGCACATGGCCGCCCATTTCGGGGGCCATTTCCCGTGGATTTTGTGATAAATATTGTCAATTTGAGAATATTTATTTTAAAACTCGGTAGCGGAAGCGGATCATACCAAAATTTCGGCGGATTTCTGAAAATTATGCACGTGTTAAAAGCTAAAATACAAAAATTGTCCAATAACGAACCTCTCCGGAAACGCAGCGAAAAGAAAAGAAAGAGAGGGAAGTGTCAGTTTGACAGTAGCGATGCGCGGGAATCGATAACAACGAGTGAACAGCACGCTGTTAAGTTCTGCTCGTGCTATTAGGCGCAATAAGGCTTTTACACTGATACACATTTCCTCAGAGTGCTTGATATTTGTCTTATAAACAATAAAAATCTAAGTTTGTTGTTAATTTAAAGGATAGAGGAGTGTTGATATAGTTGTACATGTACTACACAGAAAATGAAGGTGTTGCGCTAACAGCATACTGCTAAGATATATTGTGTGTGCTGTTAGGCGCGCTTTTAAAGCAGTAACATTTTAACATTGTTCAGTTAACTTGAGGGTCGTGTCCCAGCTAATGGCGTTCTTCACGACTATTCCGATTTAATAATCGGCTTGTGTCTCAGCTTATCCCATAACGCCAGGGATTATATCGATATAGCATTGGCAATTATCGTTGTTTTGGTCCATTTCTAGCAGACCGTCATCGTCATCGCCATTCGATTCCAATCAGAATCCGTGCGGGGTCGATTTCTGGCGTCGTCGCGTTGAAAAAAAATACCTAAACTGTTCTGATTTTCACACTGAAATTGAGGGAAATTGAACAAGCCTGCTGATTGTGCGATGCAAAAGCGATAGGCCGCCCATCGCTGTGCGTGAAGAGTACGAGGTTTGCAATTCGGAAGTCACTAAATCGCGAATCCTGCGCTAAAACGAAAACGAAATCGGGAGGAAAAAGCGAGTGGCAGATTTTTCTGTCTACCTACACAAACACATACGCAGGCTGCTGCGCTGGTGTGTGTGTGTGGTCTATCGGAGCGCCGCAAAATAAAAAAGAAATAATTGTGCAGTGCGAAGATAAAGTAGATAAATCAGTGATGAATTAATGTTTTAAGGGCGAAAAAGATTTTAAAAAAGTGTTGGGGGAATTAAAAAAAGAGCCGCGCCCCGTTTGCCAAACGTTAACTAACACACACACACACAAACACTCCGTCACAAAAACACACACACACACACGCACGAAGAGGCAGAGCAGAGAGAAAGAGAGAGAGAGAGACAGAGAGAAGAAGAGCGAAGAAGCAAAAAGAGAAAAGTTGTATGACAGCAACAAATAGTTTGTTAATTGCACGGGTTTTTTACTCCGTCACTTTAAAGTAAATAAAATTATTATCCTTTTTGCTTCTCCTTTGCTTCTTCTTTTCTCCTGGTTGTGTTGCCCCGTCGTTCGTCGTTTCATTTGCATTTCCCCTCTCTAACTCTACTCCCCTCCTCTTTCTGCGTGCGAAGAAGCAGCAGCAGCAACAGCAATTCTCCAGATCCAGAAGAACAACAAAAAATAGCAAATCAAAATGGCGCACCAGCAGCAACAACAACTGGCTCCATCGGTCAACTGTTCACTGGACGATATCGATCTGACGGCCCTAAAGGTGAGTCTTCAGCTCTGGCTTATCTATCAGATATAGAGCCTCCACCCGAAAAAATTAGAGCCCCAAATATATTACCCCCACTCCAGTCTTGTCTATTCATTAACACGCCCCGCCCGATTAACGGGAAAGTGACCGCCCCCCGTGATTCTACTTCCAGGTGTGGTCGTTTACACTCCAATTTCCGTTCATAATGCGTCTATTTGGCCAATGTTTAACTTCATAAATCTATTTATAAAGTCTTAAATCAGTTCGATTTTGCTTTCCTTTTTATATCAATTTATTTAAATTTAAAACTTGTATAACTTGAATTAGTTTTGAAAAACAAAATAAAATGTACCAATTATCAATTCTTATCTTTAATTAAAGATTTATTCAGATCTAATATCATGTTTTTTATAATTCAGACTAATTGGAGTGACTATAAATTAAATTTGTTCAATCTATCAGCAACTTAACTTTTCTTATTTCAATGTTTATTGCATTAAATTGCTGGTTTCATACAAAATCTAAAGAAACAATTTTGAAAGCTCCAAATTATGTATTTTCTATATTTCTTATTTAGTCAGCAATATTTTGAACATCCATTTTTTGATAAGTTAAGCTGAGTTACTCAACTGTTTGATTAAACGTTGAGTAATAATTTAATCCATGTTTACATATTTACTTTCTTATCTCTGGTATTTACATTTTTTAAAAAATCAAAAGGCAAAAAATTACAGAAAATGAGTGTTTTTAAGAGACGATATTTATCTGTCCTTCACGGACTTCTCCAAATTCATTTTAATCCCAAAATCTTAAAGCTTTGGGATTTGCTAAAAGCCCTTGCAAGGGACTTTGTTCCATAAATAGCACTGAATATCTTATACAACACGAAGCGATTGGCCTTTGCAGTCGTCAAACCCTTGAAGGTTTCCCCCGCACATTTATGCAAATTGTTTAAAAGTACAACAAAAGGGAAAATTTTCTTTGTGTTCGCTTTTTTTTCGCACTTTGCCATGGCAACCAGAAAAGGCTCCTTTTCCTTTTATTTTTTTTTTTTTTGCATTTTACACCCTCCCCCATGAAGCAATCACAATAATAATCGAGTTGATAAATGCATATTGGCATTTCGATTTCATTGCCCGATAGAAAACCACCCAAATCAACACCCACCCTATATCTGGCGCTGTATTTGTGTGTGTGAGAGTGGTGTGCGCAACTTTTGACCGGCCGGTGTCATCTTCTCCGCTTTGCCAAGCTATTTTTTGTTTCGTTTCGTTTCTCAATGAATTTGTCGAGTCTTAACCCCCTTTCGGCCGCCTCAAACCCCCCTGTTAACCCCCCTTGTGTCCGCACGCACTGCCGCATGCGTTTGTTGCCTTTCTCTTTCACCAAACACTCACCACTCTCACCACTCTCGGTGGCGGAACGGAACTCACCACGCCCGCCGGCCCCACATTGGGCGCCATCTCTTTTGCTTTGCGCACCCACCGAAAGTTCAGTTTGGCACTGCTGTATATGTGTGTGTGTGTGTGTGTGTCAGTGTCCGTTTGTTGACTCTGCCTAGCAGTAGTGGGGTGGTGGCGGTGGTGCTTGGGTCGTCGCCTCGCTGCTACGGCATGTGCGCCCCTGTGCTTGTGTGTGTGTGTGAGTGTGCTATGCTCACAGATCAGGCCAAAATAGTAGGCTTTAATTTGGTCTTTAAAATGGGGTGCTACTAGGAAAGTTAAAATAAGAGGCTTAAATGGAAAAGCTATCGATAAAAATCAAGATATAAACTATTTTTAGTGAAGACTTGAAAGTGGATTCACCATAAATGTTTTAACCAGAAGAAGTATTTCTTGTGCAAATCTCTTAATTATAAGGAAAGTTGATTAGTTTACAGAAAGAAATAGTATTAATAAAGCCTATTTATAAATTATGTTTATTCTTAAGATTATACAAAACGAGGTCAACATTGAAGTCAAGTTTATTGACTCATGGTCCTGATTAAAGTCGTTTTCCTTTTAATAGCATTGATATGGAAGGCCCTCTCAAGAAGCTATTATTTTGGCCCCAGCTGTTCGGTTCGTGTGTGTTTATGAAAAATTGTTCATAGTCGATGCAGAGCGACGAAGACGAGACAAAAACGAGACAAGAATGAAAATTGTTTAGTTTACTTTATTAAAAGGCGGCAGGCAGAAGCGAGCAGAGCAACACCATGCGTGCTTTTGTATCTATGTGAGTGGCATGTTTCTGGATCTGTGTGTGTGTGGATGTGTTTGTAGCTTCGCTGCAGCAGACAGCTTGAAGATGGCGATAATGTGGATTCAAATGATAATGATTATGAAAACGATGATTAAGATGGAGCACACACACTGCTGGCTGCCAAGGAAAACGACGTAGTCAACGACGAACCCAAAGCAAAATCAGCAAAAATGGCAGCAGGCATGAGAATATGAATTGTGTGTCTTGTTTGAAGTGTTGTTTTTATTTTTGTTATTTCTGTTTGGCCTTCTCCTTTTTGCCGAAGTGGGCGTGGGTGTGGGCGTACGAGGGCCCCCTCCGTCTGCATGTCTGCCACATTCTGCTGACCTGTCTGTGCGTGGCTTTTAAAGGTCATTAAACACAATGGGCAAAAGAGAGATGAGAATGTCCCGAAATAGAAAACGAGAAAAGGTCAGAGTCCTTAAAGCTTAGGTTCTTTCTCTTCACATCGGCTCGTTGTGTGAGGCTTCCGTTCTGGGGTTTCTTCTTCGCCCGATAAAAACTCCATTCCCCATGTCCGATAAGATACCGCAAACTGCATTCATCAGCACAAATTTCATTAATTATTTCCCAGTTTTTTACGACTCCTCCTTTATTTATATTTAGCGCAGTTTCTTTTATTCTCCTCTCTGATAAGCATTCAAACGCGGTTTGTCTTCATTTTGGTGTGGCTACTTCTTTGTCTGTTTTTTCAGGCATGTGCACTGGAAAAAAGTATCGACAATGAAAGGCTTTAAGTGTAAAACTCAAAAGCTTAGTGCTTAACATTCTAAAGAACTTTATTTGAGAGTTGAACTTTGTTTGATTGAGGTTTTTCTTCAGTTTCTATCTGTTTGAAATATTTTCAAAATTTCCTTCAGTGTTTATATATCCTTTTTCCCTCAGTGTTTGAGTTTATTTTAATCAACATTTATTGCATTTCGTTAGCAGCGATAAAAACGTGTTCGCCCACATTTGTTCGGTTTCCATGTGTCCGTCTGCGCTGCAATTTGCTCTGAAGAGTGGAAAAAATCCACACATGTTTCAGTCTTTGTGGGTTAAATCAACATTGGCCCCGGGAAAATGCGTTTTTTTTTAAAGTTCTGGAAGAGGCATCTCTCGGCCAGAGAGTGTGTTTATAGAAGCAAATTTCCCCAGAGTATTGGGAAATCTCTTCTATATTCCGTGTAATGGAAATGGGTCTACAAAAATTATCAGCTCTAATCAGAGTTGGCTTCATTTGCTGATACCCAAAATGTAGGTAAATGGGTTCTGTGACGTCAGCCGAGTGCATTCTTAATCGTATTGGCCACGCGACCCACACAAATTAAGCCAACAAAGAGACATAGTTTAGATCACTGAAAGAAATGGGTAGTAAGATAGTAAACTTAAAAATCATGTTTTGAACTAAAGAAATGAGTATTTTGGCCTTTATTCTATTTATTTAAGCAAAAACCAAAGACTTACTTTACATTAATCACTCCATTTTTCTTAGTGCAGCCACCGCATCTGCATAAGCCAGCTCCATTGCAATGCATGGGCGTCCTAATATGCAGTCAGTCCTGTTTTTAGCCACTCTCCTGCTCTTTGCATTTTTTGCTGCTAACTGGGCCAAGCCTTTTTCAAGGGGCAAAGGGGGCAAAATGGAAGGGGAGGAGGAGGAGGGATTTCTGCGCTTTTAGACAAACAAAACAAAAAACAAAAAATTCCAGTTTGCCAGGCCAAGCAAACTGTAATAATGAACCAACTAGCCGAAGAGACTGACGGCGACAAACTTCTGGTTAAAGGCAGTAGTTTGTCGATATAAAATACTGATTTTGTAGCTTATAAAACAGAAAACAAAGATTCCTTGTTCTACAGATGTAGATCAAATTTTTGGTACACGAAATCTACAATACTACTACTTACAAGCTGCTCTTACACAAGCTTTACTGTATCGCCAGCGTCTGCGTTGGTCCGCGACTCGATCTTTCGGCCTCCAACGGGTTGTTTAGTTTTAGTTTTAGTTGTACTCGTTTGGACAAATACAAAAACAAACAGCGGTCGTAGCAGAACAACAACAACGACGATAGGAGAGGTGCTAGGGAGGAAAGCCAAACAAAAGACAACAAAGGGGGTAAGGGGTGGGGGGCACATGTGGCGGCAGCTGGACAATTTCCAAAGAGAGCGGCAGGAATACGCCACAGTAACAACAACATCCGAACCAGCCTGTTTTGCCTGCTGCTAACTGATAACTGTAACCAAATCTACACTGGAAGAAAACGAGATACCTATATGGAGGTTTTTCACTGAAAGAAATTTCCTTTGATTAAACTATGTTTAGGAATGTATTTAACAGAAGGGTATCTAGTTTTTCTGATAGAATAACTTTTCTGTGGGTATTTTCTTTCTGTGTCCTAGAAGTTTTCTTCTAACGGCTACCTGAACCTGGCATTTCCCCGCACGCCGAACCATTGCTCATTTGGCTGGCTTTGCTTTTTTGTGTTGCTTAACATGTCAACGCTAATGACTCATGGAGTGAGTGGTTCCAGCAGCGGATACTTTTCTCTCTCCCGTTTTTCTTGGTCGTTTCCTCCTCCATTCAGTGAGTTCATTTTTCGTGAATTTTTAATTGATTTTTACAACGTGAAGTAATCAGCCATAAATAGCGGTAATTGCCGCCGCACTCCCAGCATTTTCCCTTTGTCTCTGGGTGGTTCTTTCTCATTTTCCCTCTGTTTTTTGCCTTATCCCCTGCCTTTTCCCTTTATCGCATGTGTTTGACACACTTTTCTGGGTTTCGAGTGGTGAAAAAAAGGGCTGGGGTGCAGCCATAAATCTACTTAAAGCGGCTTCCATAGTTCTTTAGTTTTTCCACCGACACCCCACATCTCTTAGATTTCCCCTATTTGTTTATTTCGTGGTTTTTACTTTACTTTTACTATATTTTCTTTTTTTTTTTTTTTTTTTTCTTGTTGACTTTTTGTCTTTTTGGTCTCTAATTCCTGAAGCTTAAGGAGCTTCCACCCTGTAGATTGAAAATAATAGGGAAATGCACCACCCGGGGGGTGGAAAACTGCAGTTCGTTTGATGGGGATTAGAATCGCATAAAGCTGACAACTTATGATACCCCATAAATCAATCGTTTGAGGATGTCGCGGGTAATATTTCTTTATGTCTTCTCCTAATACCATTCTCCTGTCAATAATATATGGATTTTTCTGGGGCGCTTATCCGTTGTGAGAACTAAACTTGCAACTTGTAAGACTTCAATCAACCTTCTTTCGAGTTCGTCTACTTAACTAGTTGCAGAACTTTTGCGCAAAATGAATTTGGAGCAGTAACTGCACTTTGCTAACTTCTCCTGTCCATCAATTGGAGGCTACACTGGCAGTAAGGCATTTTAAGAATCAATTTAAAGTTTACTAACTCTATCTTTAGTTCATAAACAAGTTGTATAAATCAGCTCAGCTGGAGTCACATGAAACTGATATTATCTATTGCCTCAGGATAATGAGTCCATCAAAAAGCCATAACAATTTTCCCAGTAAGCCTATTAAATCAATATTTATTGACCAGAATTTCTTTATGTGCGCCTCGTGGCTCTTAACCCACAACCTCTCGTCGTACCTTTGAGCGTCAACTCGGGTTGTCAAAAAAGTCAGTTACCTGTTGAAATGCCGGCGTAGTTGTTGTTGTTGTTGTTGTTGTTTGTTTTTGTATTTTAATTGGCATTTGCCTTACCTGTCGTTCTGGACGTCTTTGTAATCCCAATGCCCCTCACCCTGCTCTTCCTCCCATCAGCTGCGCTCCAATAAAAATAGAAAGCATTGTGCCCGGCGAACCTCCTCTTTTCCATCCATTTCGTGTCACGCCCCGTGTCACGAGTTGCGTGTCAATGAACTCGCATGCAATTTGTATGGCTTTTGGGAACCAGAATGGGGCATGGGAATGGAGGATGGGGAAATCCGAATCCGTATCGGAATTTGGAAATCGAGGATTTTATTTTTAACGCAGTGCCAGTGCCAGTGGCAGTGCCTCTCGGGACTTGTCTCTCCTTATTTGTATTGTTATGCCTTAATAATTTGTTTACAAACAACACAAAAACAAAGACAGAACGCTGCCTGGTTCGTTCGTGTTTAAAGGTTGTTTAAGTGGTGCGGGCTCTGAAAAAGAGGGATTTAAGAGGGGGTTTAAAAGGGGTTCTTTGTTTGTTTGACAGCTGGGAAACAAGAATAAAACTCAAAAAAGGATTTTTATTTGGGCGTTTCCACATTGATTTTCCCTAACTCATCTCTCATGTTCTCCATATCTCTCTTTCTCTTCCAGGATCCAGCTGGCATCTTTGAACTCATCGAAGTGGTGGGCAATGGCACCTACGGTCAGGTCTACAAGGTAAGTCAATCTCTATCTATAAACTTTTTATTAGCTGTAAATAACTATCAATTTTTGTGGCTATTTTCGTGTCTGAAAATTTAAGCTTGTGTGAAGTTTTTACTGCTTTCTTTTCATAAGCAAATTTTCGCCGAGAGAAAGAGCAATGATCTCAGACTTTGGCTTCTGAGAGTCACTTAGTCTTTTTATAATTAGCAATCGTTAAACTTAACGCCTGACTGCGTTTCGCTTATGTTTCTGCAGTATGTGGTTGCCTCGCCAAAGCGAAATGTATCTGAGTATTTGAGTATCTGCAGGGTGACGCCTGCCTCTCATCTTCCGCCGACGTGTTCTGGTCGCTTTAATTAGTTTGTGTCCGCTATGTTGTCTAATAACTTAAAGCGGCTAACAAAACAAAAAACGACTACAAGCCAAAACAAAAATGCCGAGAACGGATTCTTCTCACACATTAACACATTTTTCTGGCTTATCGCCTGCAGGGGTAATGGTAGAAATAATAATAAAAAGAGAAAGATGCAAGGGCTAAGTTTAAAGAGTCGAAGTATGGATACCCTTGAGAATATAATGGCTACTACTGTTTAGATAAATCTGAGCGGGGGATCTTGTAGAACTTTACTTAATATCTATCAGGTTAATCTTCTACATTAAATATATAGATCATAGATCTTAGAAGTTCTTAATGTTTCCCAAACCTAGAATACCCTCTAGAAAGGGTATCAGAAACAACAGGAACGAGAGCCGCAGCCATCATCATAATCACACAGCTAAACAATGCCTTGACTTTGTGCTTGTATTTAAATTATAAGTTTAAAATGTATCTGCAAGATACAACTGTGCAGCAGCAGCAGCAGCAGCAGCGACGGCGGCGGCGGTACGAAAATAGACATTGCTTTTGTAAATTACCGTTAGCTGTTGGAAAATCAGAAAAGAGCGGAAAAAGTGTGGCATGCGCCGCTTGGGAGGCCAACGGCAAGTTGTTGTTGGGCCTTCATATTGCTGCTGTTGCATGTTGCTGTTGTTGGTGTTACTGTTGCACTTTGTGGGGGTCGCCGCCGGCATCTTTGTGATGAATGCATCGAAATTGAGTTGCCGCTGCTGCTGGATTTGCCTCAAGTTGTTGTTTATCGCCTCTACAGATCCTAAAGTATTTTTATATACCCTCGAAGTGGGTAATTTGATTGGGGAATTACGTTTGAAGCTGCATAGACAGGAGGAAATTTCGTGGCGATAAAGTTTTACGACTTTAGATAAATATTTAAAAGTGATTTTGGATTCCTGTTTTAGTTCAAAAAGAATGAAATAATAGATTTCCTAACCAATCATCAGTAAGATAAGATTATAAAATGCAAACTACTGCCACTTCTGTGTGCCTTCCTTGAAATCGCATCTAATACATAAGCTCCCCTACTAACTGAGTTAATCATCACAGACTCCAGATAGCTGAGGTATGAGTAATCCGCTAGTGAATTTCCATTTCAACTCTCTAGGTGGTTAAGCACGGCAATTCAAATTTGCCTAAGTAATTTCATTTCCATATCTATTTTTATACAATTTCTCGGAATGATCAGCTCTTTCACGTTCGCCCTTATAAGGTTCTCCAGGTGGATTAAGCTCTATCTATTACACCATTTCATGAAACTGGGCTGTCAATCAGTTGGCAGCTTTCAAAAGTATCTTTAATTTCATGTTTTTATGACCTGAAATTTTTGCCAAAAGCCTGTCAATTGGTTTCGCCCACACAGTGGAGTCTTGGGTTTCCCAAATATTACGCAGATCAAATCTTAAATACACTTTATGGGTATAATATTGTATTTGGATTGAGTACAGCAGGTTGTCTATGACTTTTTCTTTGTTATTAAGATAAGATAGTTGTATTTTCCTTTCTAGCACATGATTCTCTTAGTCATAGGTTATTTTTTCCTGTGCATTTTATAGTTCTTTGAAAACTTGTTAACTCAACTCGGCGACGTCTTTTGGCGCTTTAAGTAGTCCATTACTCCGCAGTGGCCGCTGAGCATCTGTGTGAAATTAGCATGAGTAATGCCCGCAGATACTTTCTGAATCTGATACTGTTTCGGATGGTGTATCTGTGTCTGTTTGTGCTGCTGCATGTGACTAGAGCGGGATCGCACTTAAAAAGTAACGGATGTCCATCCACTTGCTCGGTTTATGTCTCATTTCGCTGGCATTTATTTGGCTGTGGTTTTAGCCAATTGCCTGACTGACTGGCCAACCGGTTTACATTCGCTTTGGCTATGGGAGCTGCGTTCCGAGAGCCACCTTTTTGGCCCCGTCAGCTTATCAAACGTCACAGTTTTTGTGTCGTGTTGACCAATTTTTGCCATTTGGCCTGCTGCCTACTGCCTGCTTAATCATAATTTCGTTTTGGCTTGGTTATTTGTGATTTCGGATTTTTGGGTATTTCGAACAGCATTCAATGTGAATTCCAGTCAATGACGATCTTAAGCATGACTTAATTTCATTTCTGGGAATCTTTTTGGCAACGCTGCATTGATTTACGACCGTCTGTCGCCCCAAAGTTTGTTTAATTTGTGTTTTTGTTTTGTTTAGGACACTTCCGTTTTATTGATAACTTGATATTTCCAGCAACTGCGCGCTGCTTATTATTTTGCCTTTTATCGCTCTTAATAAGCTGGCCAAACTGTCGTCGGTGAGTCAGAGGAGCTGAAGTGGAATCATGAGGGACCGCATTAGCCACATGCGGCGGTTCCAGGGAACACGTACAAGTGCAACGTGTTAACTTGGCTTTGTGTCATGTGCACTGATTTTTGGGGTGAGGTGGGGTGTGTGGGTGTGGGTATGGGTGAGTGGTAGAGCTCATAGAACTTGTAATGAGAAGTCTGACTTTAAACGTGGTCAACTGGAAATTGTGGACAGCAGCGCTGGCAGAAGGCAAAGTTCAGACAAAGAAACTTTAGAAAAGTTTAGAAATGCAAAAGATATTTACTTGCTATCTTGGTTTTAAGTTAGTTTTCTTCTAAACAAAGTTAGTTGCTTATTTTATTGAGTTTCCAACTCAAAATTCAAGGAATCTCTGAAGATCTGGGTGGCATACCTTTAATGTTTATATTGTCAGCGTGTTGGCAGGCAAACACACAATTTCCGCAATGTTTATAAATGTTATTTTTGGGGCTTGGCTGCCGTTAGTTTTCCGCCCACGTAATAAAAACAACGACAACGACAACGCAGCACACAGCCCACAGTTGTCGTATAATTAACATTTTTCATAGCTGGGCGAACTTTGACCCAATTACGGGGGAACTCGAGAAGGAAGGAGATGGATGGCAGAGGAGGAGCATGAGGAGGTGGGTGTCTCCAGTTGGAGACAGACAAGTGCAGACAGCAAGACACAATACATATTTATGAGCGAGACATGATAATAAAGCACGCAAGCAAATAAGTGGGGAAAATGAAAAAATTAACCAACTGCGCAGGCGCAGCCAGGCAGAAAGAAGCGGCGGCTTCAGCAGCAGCAGCAACTGCAGTCTACGGCAGGGCAGTCAATAAAAAAATAAGACACGACAAGCGAAACATGCAAAATACATTAAAGCCAATAAACAAATCAAGCAGGAAGCTAAAGTAAAGGCAAAGGCAATAGGAAAAAAAGAAAGAAAAAGAACTGAGAAACAGAGAGAGAGAGAGATAGAGAGAAGAAGAAACTCTGCCTGAGAGCCATAAAAAAGGCAGCAATTAGTGCACGAGTACCCAAAAAAGCATAAAAGGCTCTCTCAATGTCACACAAATGAAATAAAAAAGCTAATTATTACGCAAATAGTATTTGTGTTTGGTTGGCTCTGGAAAGCATTTAACAAACTCAAGTCATTGACACGTTCCCAGAGGGGGTGCACAGCAAGAAAGATGTGATATTAAAGGGTTAAACTAAAGTTTAGTTGGGTGTTTAAGATAAACCAACTTGTTTAACAGAATTAATTCTTAGAACGTCTTAACATAAGTTTACTTTTAGATATTTCTCGGATTGTTCAGTATTTTCTTCATTTCTTGCAGTCCAGTGTAGTCTCCTTTCTCTTTCCCTGTTTTTACAAAAATTTAAATGATTCCACTCTCTATATTTAACCATTCCCTGCATTTTCTGCGCTATTTCTCTCGCTTATTGTATTTTTAGAGGTTCACTAACTCTGAGTTTGCTCTGTATTTTGGTTTTTCGGTGTTCAGTTTTCAGTTTTCAGCTTTCAGCTTTTTAGTTATTCGGATTTGGGGCTTTCTGCTTCGCTTTGTTCGCTTAATTAAATCTCTAGCCCTGACACTTTTTTCATTGACAAGGCAACCTGTGTTTGCTATCTCCCTCCCCATACCCCCGTTTCTTTCTTTTGGGCCAAAACAATAAATGGGATTTTGGGTTTACGTTTTTGAGTGTTTTCGCAAAATGCCAGAAATAAAAAAAAGAAAAGGCACTTTTTGCTAGCCACAGCAATCCATGATGGGAAAGTCATCGAATCAAAGCTGAGGTGGGGGAATATGGTAGATATATGTTAATATATATATATATATGTGTGGGCAACCAGTAACGACCTTGGGAAGTTGCCGCTTCTTCTTCGACCGGGCGGTGAGTTGGTGTCGAAGCTGCTAAGTTATGCATTTTTTATAATCTGTCTGCGTGGGTTGCTATTTTTTTTTTTTTTGTGCTTTTATTTATTTTTTAACAGCTTTTGTTTTTGGCTTAAATTATATTATATATGCATGTTGGAAGTTGAAAATTTATCACTTTCGAAGGCGGCGTGTGAAATTTTTGTGGTCTGCTGCTGCTGCCCGCTCTTCAGCAAAGTGAAACCACAAAAAACTATAAAAAAGCAAAAAAAAAAAAAGGTTGATCAAAGGTCGGGGTTTTCGGGCATTAGGAAAAGCAAAACAAATGTAGGATTGCTGGCCTTTTAGATTTGCTAATTGGTTCGTTTAGAATACCAGGAAAAGCAGCTTAGCAGATACTCGGGAATGTATCTTGTAGAGTTCTGCTGAAAAGG